AAAAAAAATATAGATATATATATATATAAGTTTATGCTTCCCCAAAGAAGAGGTAGGGATATTTTAAAAGCACAAATTATTTGACTCATCCCCCTTAAGATTTCTGGTTTGGGATTTCCCTGGTGGTCCAGTGGGTAAGACTGTGCTCCCGATGCAGGGAGCCCGGGTTAGATCCCTGGTCAGGGAACTAGATCCCACGTGCATGCCGCAACTAAGAGTCTGCATGCTGCAACTAAGAACCAGCGCAGCCAAAATAAATAAATATTTTTTTAAAAAAGGAATTCAGCTTTGATGAATTATTTATTTATTTATTTATTTATTTATTTATCTATCTATCTTTGGCTGTGTTGGGTCATCGTTTCTGTGCGAGGGCTTTCTCCAGTTGCGGCGAGCGGGGGCCACTCTTCATCGCGGTGCGCGGGCCGCTCACTGTCGTGGCCTCTCTTGTTGCAGAGCACAGGCTCCAGACGCGCAGGCTCAGTAGTTGTGGCTCACGGGGCTACTTGCTCCGCGGCGTGTGGGATCTTCCCAGACCAGGGCACGAACCCGTGTCCCCTGCATTAGCAGGCAGATTCTCAACCACTGCACCACCAGGGAAGCCCTTGATGAATGATTTAAAGTGCATTTACTAGACTAGATTAAGGAAAAAAATATTCATACTCATTTTATACTTATATAGGACAAGAACATCAATATGGCAAGTATAACCATAGTATAGTAAGAGATATAACCAAACCACTGAACAAGAGGCAAGCATTGCCTTCACACAGGTGGGAGAGAGAGATGGGATGGTGAGCGATGCTATCGGACAATGGAAGCTGAACATGTCACAGCCCTAGAGAAACGAGCTGTAAGATGTGCATGAAAGGAGCTTGTGAGAGGAGGACGGGTCCACTACTTTGGCCTGCAAACTCATCACCTGGCTTTGCACCCACAGTGGAATCCCAGTGAGCTGGGGTGGCCTCCTCTGTGCAAAGCTGAACTTTCAGCCCTGGCACCTCCTCAACACTAGCTCCTTCAGCCATGGGCACTGGGGCTCCAGGGAAATCTTCTTCTAATCCTAGCATAGCCCCTTTAGGCTCTGAGTAACCTGCGAGTGGGCAACTGTCCTCAGCTCAGAGGACAGAGATTCAGCCAGAAAGGAGACAAGCATGTTCCAAAATGCTCTGGATGAAGTGAGGCTGGGGAGTTTAGTCCCTGACTCGCTCTCGCATAGAGCTTAACACAAGGTTTTGTTCATTTATTTTAAAATTTCTCCTCAGCTCAGAGGACAGAGATTCAGCCAGAAAGGAGACAAGAATGTTCCAAAATGCTCTGGATGAAGTGAGGCTAGGGAGTTTAGTCCCTGACTCGCTCTCGCATAGAGCTTAACACAAGTTTTTGTTCATTTATTTTTAAATTTCTCATTAAAAAAATTTTTTTTGGCCGTGCAGCTTGCAGGATCTTAGTTCGCCGACCAGGGATCGAACCCATGCCCCCTGCAGTGGAAGCATGGAGTCCTAACCACTGGATCACCAGGGAAGTACCACAAATTTTTATTTTAACTGAGGTAGGGTTTGCTCATGATCTATTATCTAGTACTTAATATACTGTCAGCTTTTAATGACATTGAACTCAATAAAAATATCAATATTTATACTTCACATATATATTCCTCTTAATAACGTGCATGTAGACATATTAGCTGCCTGGCCCCATTTTGCAAACCGTTTAAGCTTTACCTGTTGAAGGAACCATCTAGAATACATGGTTTGGAGACTAGAGTGCCAGCTGCAATAGTAATATTAAAGCTCAATCTGATAGAAATTGGGATTTGGATTGTTGTTTCTCTTGTGGAATATGCCTTCAGGGAGAATTATTTTGATAAAGAGGGGCATATTTAGTTGGGTTGACCTGGTAATTACTTGGGATGCTTCTCATAGCAGTACAAAATAGCTCTATGTGCTTTCAAAAAATTAATCAAACTTACCCTTCTATAAATACTCGAAGAAAAACATCCATGAAAAAAAATAAAGCAATAGCTAAAGAAACTGAACGATATTCCAAAGGAATATACATCGTGCTATCAGAGACAGCTACGTCTGTAATGATGAGGGACACATCCACAAAGGTCAGCAAAATTCCAAATATTCTACAACAAACAAATAAACCAAATAAGGATAAAGTGGTTTTCACACCTATAGGTAGACTAACTTCAGCCCAATGATCTAATATCAAAATGTCATTATTTTGGGTTAAACTGTTCAGTGGTAGGGAGAACTGCCCTTAGAATCTCAACATAAATTACTCTTTCACCCAACAGGAGCAGTTGTTAGGGAAATAAATTTCCCACTAAACCACTTCATGATATCATGCCCTTTTATATTAAGACACATCAGACCAACACTCCAAGACAGAATAGGCAAACTGCATTAAAATTACATGTTTCCAATTGTAAACTCTTCTTAAAATTTAAGAATTTTAGAAGGGTCTTCTACCAATTTCCCACAAGAAATTAAACCTCATTGATCTTGATATTTTTTAAACAATTTAGTAATAAAAACCAAGTGAAAGCATGACTAACATAAGCCCTTAAAAGACTACTTTGACCAGTAAGGCTTCTTATCAGTGAGTTTATCAACAAATATAAGATTACATATCAATGGATGGTTCTGGCACAGTTCTGGGCACGTAAGAAGGAATTCAATTCAATGAATACACACATAATTCAACTCTAAAGTAACTCCTAAGCCTTTTTCCTGTATATGCTAAACACATTCTCTATAAGTTGATTATACTATTTGTATAATCTATGAAGATAAATTAATCTTAAAGCACTTTTTCACAATTGCAATGCAAATTAAAATATCAATTTAAAAGGAAGCAAGTACGTTGTGTGAATCTGTAACATAGTATGAAATCTTACTATCGTGTAGAGAAGAAAGATCTAAGTAAAATGTTTCTAGAATTAAGGAGTAATTCTAGGTGAATTAAGGTATTTACTAAAACTTTCCTTATAACTAAAGAATTTTGAAATGCATGTTTCATTATTTTTACTTTTACAGGTAGAAAAAAAATGTTAATATGTTGATATTAGACTCTGTACATGCCATTTCTTTGCAATTCTTAATGTTCAGCTTCAATTAAAATTTCAAGATAAATTAGATTGCATTAAATGGGGCACAAAGGTTATTTAGCGACATACTGACAGTGGAAATGCTTTTTCTTCCCTCCCAGATCCTTTGCCATTAAAAAATATTGATATTAAATGTAATACATACTTAATTACCTCCTTTTCTAGAGTCTCACATACCTGAAAGTGAAGGATGATACAATCAAGTACACAATTCTCTTAATATTCCTGC